CTGCCTTGGCCTCCCAAAGTGCTAGGATTACAGGGATGAGCCATTGTGCCTGGCTCAGAATCAAAATTTGAAATCAACCTGTGTTGAATCAGTAAGTAAACCATAAAGATGGAGATTCGAGAATCAGAATTCCAGCCTCCTTGAAGGCAGACCTGGGCTGTGGCTGGAGGTTGAAGTTGGAAGAACTGAGGAAAGAACATAGGCCTTGGAGTCCCAAAGACCTGCCTTCAAATCCTGGCTCTGCCTTTGCTGCTGTGTGACCTAGAGTCAAGTGGCTGGACTCTTCTGTGCCCAGCATCTTCTGCTGTGAAGTGGAGAGGATGAAGTTCACCTCCTAGGTTTGCTATGAGGTTTAAGTGGGAACAATCCAAGTATACAGAACCGCTGGTGCGGGGCTACTGCTTGAGGAGTAGCTAGTGAATGTTAGCTGTGTCCATGACACGCAGAGGGCCAAGTGGACTTCCTCCCTCGGTAGGGGAGGAAGGAGAAGCTTGGGGACAGTACAAGGCCAACCAGACCTACTTCCACCCAGCCCAGCCTGGTGCTTCTCTGTACTCTCCTAATCCTGCTGACCCAAGTACTTTGCTGTGAGGCAGTTGCGTGTGAGGCGTGAACCCTGAGCCTATGCTGCAGGGGAAGAAAAGAAGGACACTCACCCAACAGCTGCAGGCTGCCTGCCCGCCCCCCACGCCCGTGAGCCCCCTTCTTCCAGCAGGCAGCCCCGGGAACTCCCTTCTCCTCCACAGGCACCCAGAGGAGGAGCTGACTCTCAGTCGGGGAGCGAACAGGGCCTGCTGCCCAGGCACGGCATAGTTCAACTCGAACTTAGGTCTGGCAGTCTCCTGACTTTGAACCTGAGCTCTTTATTGCCACGCCTGTCCCCACACTGGAAATGACCCAGCCTTCCTGTGGAAAGAAGGAAGGGTGCCATTTCCCTAAAGATTAATAATTGACCAACTAATATGAAACCACACAAGCATGCCTCCAGAACCCCGGTTAATGTTTACCTGTGTTCTTCTCCGGTGCCAGAGCCTTTCCTGTGGGTGCGCAGCTGCGGATTCCACCATAGAGATTTTGCGGAACAAATTTAGCCTGGGAAGGTGATTCCTGCTAGACCCTTACCTGAGCGACTCCTTCCTGGGGCACTCTGTTACCACCCTGCCATCGTCACGGCTTTGGGCATTTACTCCATGCTTGACACAGAGACTTCAGACCCTCACATGGCTTTATAAAGGGGGATCTAGGGTGATTCCCACCCTACAGATGAGGAAACAAAGACACAGGGGTGAGGTCCTTGTCCCATGTGACAAAATCAGGAGCAAAAGAGCCCATATTCAGCCAGGTGCGGTGGCTCATGCCTGTAATCCCAGCACTTTGGGAGGCCGAGGCTGGTGGATCGCCTGAGGTCAGGAGTTCGAGACCAGCCTGGTCAACATTGTGAAACTCCGTCTCTACTAGAAATAAAAAAATTAGCCGGGCATGGTGGCAGGCACCTGTAATCCCAGCTACTCAGGAGGCTGAGGCAGGAGAATCACTTGAACCTGAGAGGCAGAGGTTGCAGTGAGCCAGGATTGCACCACTGCACTCCAGCCTAGGGGACAACGCCAGACTTTGTCTTTAAAAAAAAAAAAAAAAAAAGCCCCTTACGCCTGTAATCCCAGCACTTTGGGAGGCCAAGGCAGGCAGATCACGAGGTCAGGAGATTGAGACCATCCTGGCTAACACGGTGAAACCCCGTCTCTACTAAAAATACAGAAAAATTATCCGGGCGTGGTGGCAGGCACCTGTAATCCCAGCTACTCGGGAGGCTGAGGCAGGAGAGTGGTGTGAACCTGGGAGGCATAGCTTGCCGTTAGCTGAGATTGCACCGCCACTGCACTCCAGCCTGGGTGACAGAGCGAGACTCCATTTCAGGAAAAAAATTTAAAAGCCCATATTTGTCCAGATTCTTTTTTTTAAGAGTCTTTTTCTGTCACCCAGGCTGGGGTGCAGTGGTGCAATCACGGCTCACTGCAGCCTCAACCTCCCAGGCTCAAGTGGTCCTCCCACCTCAGCCTCCTGAGTAGCTGGGACTATAGGCGTGCAACCATGCCTGGCTAATTTTCCATTTTTTGCGGAGAGAGGGTCTCACTATGTTACCCATGTTGTTTTTGAACTCCTGAGCTCAAGCAATCCTCCTGCCTTGGCTTCCCAAAGTGTTGGGATTACAGGCGTGAGCCACTGCGCCCAGCCACCCAGATTCTTGTCTTGAACCTCTGCTCCTTTTTGTGTTTTCTTTTTTGAGACAGGGTCTTGCTCTGTCACCCAGGCTGGAGGCAGTGGTGTGATCATGGCTCACTGCAGCCTCAACCTCCCAGCCTCAAGCAAGTGATCCTTCCATCTCAGCCTCCTAAGTAGCTGGGACTACAGGCGCATGCTACCACACTTGGCTAATTTTTCATTTTTTGTGGAGATGGAGGTCTCACTATGTTACTCAGGTTGGTCTCAAATTCCTGAGCTCAAGCAATTCTCACACCTTGGCCTCCAAAAGTGCTGGGACTACAGGTATGAGCCCCTGTGCCAGGCCAAATGTCTGCTTTTGACCAATGAGCCTGGCCACCCCTCCCCAGCCCTGTTGTGAGCCTCGCTCCAGGCTTTGCTTGGCAGCTCGGTATTCTTTATGGTCCGAGACTCTGGCCCAGAGTGACCATGGATGTCTCACTGGAGTTCTAGGCCAGGGCCAGAACATGCAGGGATGCTGGGGCCAAAGGGTCCCCCAAGGAAGGCAGGCAGAGAGGCAGATGTCTTTGCCTTCATGTCACCTGTAGCCTTTGCCCCAACACTGGTAAGGTGACCATGGACTCTGCCAGGATACTTGTTTACCAAGCCCGAAGGGGACAGCTTTCTGGGAGATGTCTTCTCTGTACTCCCCAAGACCATCCCCCAGTGCCTGGAAAGCAGAGGGTGAACTCTGGCACTTTATTTATGTATTTATTTTTATTTTTGTTTTTTGAGACACAGTTTCACTCTTGTTGCCGAGGTTGGAGTGCAATGGTGTGATCTTGGCTCACTGCAACCTCCACCTCCCAGGTTCATGCGATTCTCCTACCTCAGCCTCCCGAGTAGCTGGCACTACAGGCGCCTGCCACCACGCCTGGATAATTTTTCGTATTTTTAGTAGAGATGGGATTTCACCGGGTTGGCCAGACTCATCTCAAACTCCGGACCTAAGGTGATCCACCCACCCCAGCCTCCCAAAGTGCTGGGATTATAGACATTAGCACCGTACACAGCCTTGTATTTTAACAGGTGACTATGTAATAGGTAAAGACCCTTCCTCTGAGCAAATGGAGGGGCTTTAGCTCTCTGACACTGGCCTCATGAGGAAGGCAGTCTTTCCCCCAGATGTAGCTTGGTTGGGTGATGGCCTGGTCTGAATTACATTATAGAGGCAGAACTGAGGGCGTCTTGGGACCCGCCCTCCTCCCTGACCCTGTTTTTTATCACTTCCTTTCTGGTTCACCAGTAACTCTGGCCACCTTTGCTTTTTCTCAAATCTACCAGACTTATTCCTGCCCTGGGGCCTTTGCACTTGTTATGCCACAGCCTGGACTGCTGGTCTTCTGGCTCTTCCTGTGGACTCCTCCTTTTCATCATTCAGGACTCGGTCAAATGTCTGCTCCTCAGGGCGGCCTGCCCCTACCACCACTGCTGGAGTTCTCTACCCCCCACCTTAGTCACCTTCTCTGGATCCTGTTCTTCCCTTTGCCTTCATCTGTACAGTCTGAGGTGGTCTTCTGTGTTTGATTGCCTCTTTATTTTCTGGGCACCATGAGAGCATGGTCTTTGTTAGCTTTTGGCTCTACTGTGTCCTCAGCCCTAGAACTGTGTCTGGCCCATCGCAGGTATTCATTAAGTATTTGCTGAGTGAGTGAAAGAATAATCTAAGGCTGGGCGTGGTGACTCACCCCTGCTATCCCAGGACCTTGGGAGGCTGAGGAGGGAGTATCACTTGAGTCCAGCCTGGGGAACATAGAGGGACCTCGTCTCTACAAGAAATACAAAAATTAGCCAGGCATAGTGGCATGTGCCTCTGATCCCAGCTACTCAGGAGGCTGAGGCAAGAGGATCGCTTGAGCTTGGGAGGAAGAGGCTACAGGGAGCCGTGATCGCACCACTGTACTCCAGCCTGGGCAACAGAGTGAGACCCTGTCTCAAAAAAAAAAAAAAAAACCAATAAAAAGAATAATCTAATTTAGTTCTCACAATGAATTTGTGTGGGAGTGAAGGTGTTTGCAAATTGTTTGCCATTCCTTCTAGGAAGAAGGGGAGGCTCTCTCCTCAACCTGGGTCTCTGGACTGAGCCTGTGACTCACTTTGACCAACCGAATTTGGTGGCAGAAAGGAGGCCAGATGACTTCTGAAGCTAGATCTTAGGAAGCCGTTCAGCTTCCACCTGGGTCTCTAGGAACACTGTCTCAGGGGAAGCCAGCTGCCATGTGGGAAGTTGGACTAGCTTGAGCCAGCCATGCGGTCAGGAAGCCCAAGCAGCCACGTGGTGCCAGAGCAGTGAGTGCAGAAGCCATCTTGCACATCCAGCCTCAGAGCTGGATAAGTATGGCCCCAGCTGCCCTCACACTGTAGCCGCACAAGGGAACTCTAACCAGATGAGCCCAACCAGGGGACCCTACTGTGGGAGATAAGAAATCACTTTAAGCCACCAAGTTTTAGGGTGCTGTGTTACACAGCAATGGATAACTAGAACAAGTAGGAACATTCTCTTCATTTTTTCAAAGAAACCAAGGCACCGAAAAGTCAAATGACTCCAGATCACTTGGCGGAGTGGGCATTCTGGCCTAGACTGTCTGCAAGGCCTGTGCTTTTCATTTCTAGGCTACACCACTCTGAAATTAATTCATATTTGCTGCTTCTTGTTTTGTTTTTTGTTTTACCCTTACAATACTGGTAGTCAGTATTAGGTTGAGAACTGGTCCTGAGAACTTCTTTCCTTCTCACTGCAGATCTTCATAAACAATGAATGGCACAATGCCGTCAGCAGGAAAACATTCCCCACAGTCAATCCGTCCACTGGAGAGGTCATCTGCCAGGTAGCTGAAGGGGACAAGGTGAGAACTGGTGACTTACCTTGGGGGAGGGATGGATTCGTTTTCTATTTTGCATGTTTTTGTGTGCTGAAAGCTTCACTATTTATGTGTATTACTTTCACAAGTAACGGATACCAATGAAAAATTCCAAGTAAATTAATCAATAGAAACTTCCCTGCAGACAACGGTGTTGATTCACTTAGTGCAGAACTACAGACTTGAAAGTGAATTTGGCAAATATCTAATACAGTGTCTCCTTTCCAGACCTGGAAGTTGAAGGTCAGAGATGGAAACCTTGTTGGGTAGAATTAGGGTCTCCTAAGATCTAGCTCCTGTGGAGGTTTGAATTATATAGACTGTAGGAACCAATAGAAACTGATAATATTATGTTTACAATTTTTAAATTAGACTCTTAGTAAAAATATTTTGTGTTTTTGGCCGGGCACGGTGGCTCAGGCCTGTAATCCCAGCACTTTGGGAGGCTGAGGTGGGAGGATCACTTGAGCCCAGCAATTTGAGACCAGCCTGGGGAAACATAGATACCATCTCTAAAGTAAACAAAGAAACAAATAAATAATTTAAAAATAAGAAAATACAGGCCGGGCGCGGTGGCTCACACCTGTCCCAGCATTTTGGGAGGCTGAGGCAGGTGGATCATGAGGTCAGGAGTTTGAGACCAGCCTGACCAACATGGTGAAACCCTGTCTCTACTAAAAATATAAAAATTAGCTGGGCGCAGTGGCGTCTGCCTGCAATGCCAGCTACTCAGGAGGCTGAGGTAGGCGAATTGCTTGAACCCGGGAGGCGGAGGTTGCAGTGAGCCGAAATTGTGCCACTACACTCTAGCCTGGGTGACAGAGCGAGACTTCATCTCAAAAAAAAAAAAAGAAAGAAAATACAGAAATTGTCCGGATTCTCATTCCCACCAGGACTTCATGAAAGGAGGGGAAGGTTGTGTTATTCAACCCCGTTGCTGAAGTCTGGTGCTGGTCAGGGCTCTGCCGGGCTAGGAGCATTGTTTACAGGGCAGGTTTTCTATGCAGCGATGTGCTGATGACCCTCTGGATGTGTTTGTATTCGGAGTTGGTTGTTACTGAGAAGGCCTGAGTTTTCCAGGAAGGCTTGAGTTTTCCTGTGTTTTCCAGGAAGATGTGGACAAGGCAGTGAAGGCCGCCCGGGCCGCCTTCCAGCTGGGCTCACCTTGGCGTCGCATGGACGCATCACACAGGGGCCGGCTGCTGAATCGGCTGGCTGATCTGATCGAGCGGGACCGGACCTACCTGGCGGTGAGTCCTCAGCCCTTCTTCCCCCTCAGATCCCACATGGCGAATGCGCTCACAGCATCCTGTGAACAGCCAGGAACCAAGCATCCTGTGAACAGCCAGGGGCCACACATCGGACATGGGACTGATGGGAGTGGCGTAGGATGGACACCTTTGGGGGGCACCTCTGTACTAACCAGAGGAGGCTTTCAGTGTCTCCTTTGTTTTTTTGTTTTGTTTTGCTTTTTTGAGATGGAGTCTCGCTCTGTCTCCTAGGCTGGAGTGCAGTGGCGACATCTTGGCTCACTGCAACCTCCACCTCCTGGGTTCAAGTGATTCTTCTGCCTCAGCCTCCAAAGTAGCTGGGATTACAGGCACAAGACACCACGCCCAGCTAATTTGTGTATTTTTAGTAGAGACAGGGTTTCACCATGTTGGCCAGGCTGGTCTCCAACTCCTGGGCTCAAGTGATCCACCTGCCTCAGCCTCCCAAAGTGCTGGGATTACAGGCGTGAACCACTACACCCGGCCTTAGTGTCTCCTTTGATGTGGTGGGTTTGGCTAAGCAAGAAGGATCTGGGGGAGGGAAGAAGAGCTGTGTTAGGGAGGCCTTCCCAGGAAAGAGACCCCTGGGAATGGACACCTCTCCCTGGGCTCCTCCATGATGGGCATTCTCCCTGGCTGCAAGAAGAGAAGAAACCAGGAGGCAATCTCCTCCCAGCCACAATTGATTCTGCACACAGAAGCCAGAGCGAACCTTCCAGAAGGCAGATTATACATGGCACTCTGCTCTTATGCCCTGCATGGCATGCGGTGTCCTTAGGATAAAACCCTCAACATGGTCTGTAAGACCCAGCCTTCAACATGGCGAGATCCTGTCTCTACAAAAAGTTAAAAAACTAGCTGGGTATGGTGGCATATGCCTGTAGTCCTAGCTACTTGGGAGCCTGAGGCAGGAGGATTGCTTGAGCCCAGGAGTTCCAGGCTGCAGTGAGCTGTGGTAGCACCATTGCACTTTAGCCTGGGCAACAGAGTGAGATCCTGTCTCAAAGAAAAAAAAAAATGGGCCCGGCGCAGTGGCTCAAGCCTGTAATCCCAGCACTTTGGGAGGCCGAGATGGGTGGATCACGAGGTCAGGAGATTGAGACCATCCTGGCTAACCCGGTGAAACCCCGTCTCTACTAAAAAATACAAAAAACTAGCCGGGCGAGGTGGCGGGTGCCTGTAGTCCTAGCTACTCGGGAGGCTGAGGCAGGAGATTGGCGTGAACCGGGGAGGCGGAGCTTGCAGTGAGCTGAGATCCGGCCACTGCACTCCAGCCTGGGCGACAGAGCGAGACTCCATCTCAAAAAGAAAAAAAAAATGACCCAACCTGTTCTAGTTCCATCATCTGAGTCATGCTGCACTGCAGTCCTCATATTCCCATGTGCTCCCGAGCCTGGGCTGCCATGCTTGATGGCTAAGCCTCTTTGAGCATCAGCACTTGCACCTGCCTGGGATGCTCTTTGCCCTGCTGCCATCCGTACCATCCCCTTTGCCCAGTTGCCCCTACATATCATTCAGGTTCTAGCCTAAAGGGCTCATCTCTAGCTGATATTTCTGGACAGGGCTGGGCAGCCTGGCTCCCTGCTTTCTACTTTTTAGCACTCTTTTTTTCTTTTTTTTCGAGATGGAGTCTCACTCTTCACCCAGGCTGGAGTGCAGTGGCACAATCTCGGCTCACTGCAACCTCTACCTGCCGAGTTCAAGCAATTCTCCTGCCTCAGCCTCCCAGTAGCTGGGATTACAGGTGTGCACCACCATGCCCAGCTAATTTTGTATTTTCGATAAAGTCAGGATTTCACTGTGTTGGCCAGGCTGGTCTTGAACACCTGACCTCAGGTGATTGACCCACCTTGGCCTCCCAAAGTGCTGGGATTATAGGTGCGAGTCACTGTGTCCGTCCTTTAGCACTCTTAACACATGTGACTGAGGACTTGTGTCATTATGCACAGTCTCTTTGCTCTGTGAGCTCCACTCTGGTCTCTATCTCAGCACCGGGATATGGCAGAGAGCAGAAGCTAAAAGAGTGTGTTATGTGAAATCACTGAGTGAGAAGTCAGTGCCTCATCCTGCCTAGCCCCCTTCCTCCTCCCTGCCTTTGGAGAGACCATGGCAATAGTCCAGAGATGCCAGTGACATTTGGCAGCACAAAGGGGACTCTCACCCTGGACTTGCACCAGCCCTTCTCAGTCCCAGCCTTGGCTCCCTCTGTCAGCCCTTTATTTTCCTCTCATTCCTGCACTCACGTCTCTGCTGACCTTGTTTTCTTCTCAGGCCTTGGAGACTCTGGACAATGGCAAACCCTATGTCACCTCCTACCTGGTGGATTTGGACATGGTCCTCAAATGTCTCCGGTACGGGCTCAGCTTTCCTATTCTTTGTTCTGGCAGGGGAAAAGGGGAGGCAACATTGTTAGGAGGTAAAAATTAAATTACAAAAATCCAAAAGGGGCAGGGTGCGGTATCTCATGCCTATAATCCCGGCACTTTGGGAGGCTGAGCCAGGCGGATTACATGAGGTCAAGAGTTTGAGACCAGCCTGGCCAACATGATGAAACCCCATCTCTACTAAAAATACAAAAATTAGCTGGGCATGGTGGTGCACACCTGTAATACCAGCTACTCAGGAGGCTGAGGTAGAAGAATCTCTTGATCCCTGGAAGTGGAGGTCACAGTGAGCCAAGATCATGCCACTGCACACCAGCCTAGGTGACAGAGTGAGACTGTGTCTCAAAAACAAAAACCAAAATGAAAAACAAATAAATTACAAAAATCCAAAAGGATCACAGCTGTGAGAGAAGCCTACTCCATTTAGACTCCAGCTCGTGGGAAAATCCTTCAATATCACAAATTGTGACTTAGTCATAAATGCTTTCTTTGTTCTTGAGTCACTTTTGGTACTTTCTCTGTTACTTGGAACTTGTCCATTTTATTGAGGTTATCTAATTTGTTGGTGTACAATTGTTCACAGTATTCTTATAATCCTTTTTATCTCTGTAAGATGTTGTAGTGATGTCTCCATTTTCAGTTTTACTTATTTGGGTCTTCTCTCTGTTTCTTAGCCTAGCTACAGGTTTGTCCATTTTGTGAATGTTTTCAAAGAACCAAACTTTTGGTTTTGTTGATTTTATTGTTTTTCTATTCAAGAAAATACTCTCTTTTGTCTATCTCTGTTTCAGTATTTATTGTTTCCTTCCTTTTACTAGCTCTGGGTTTAGTTTAATCAAAAATGTTTTATTGATTGATTATTATTTTTTTTGAGACGGAGTCTCGCTCTGTCGCCCAGGCTGGAGTGCAGTGGCACAATCTCGGCTCACTGAAACTTCCGCCTCCCGGGTTCAAGCGATTCTCTGCCTCAGCCTCCGGAGGTGCTGGGATTACAGGAGCCTGCCACCACGCCCGGCTAATTTTTTGTATTTTTCATAGACACGGGGGTTTCACCACCTTGGCCAGGCTGGTCTCGAGCTCCTGACCTCATGATCTGCTCACCTTGGCCTCCCAAAGTGCTGGGAATACAGGTGTAAGCCACCGTGCCTGGCAATACCCTGTTTCTTAAAAAAAAGAAAGAAGGTCGGGGATGGTGACTCACACCTGTAATCCCAGCACTTTGGGAGGCCGAGGTGGTTGGATCATGAGGTCAGGAGTTCGAGACCAGCCTGGCCAAGGTGGTGAAGCCCCGTCTCTACTAAAAATACAAAAAATTAGCCAGGCATGGTGGTGGGCACCTATAATCCCAGCTACTCGGGAGGCTGAGGTAGAGAATCTCTTGAACCCACGAGGCGGAGTTTGCAAAGGCTGCAGTGAGCCGAGATCGCACCACTGCACTCCAGCCTGGGTAAAAGAGCGAGACTCCTTCTCCAAAAAAAAAAAAAAAAAGAAGAAAGAAAAAAATTCTAATTCCTGGACATGAGCCCCAGCGAGTGGGATTGAATATATTGGAAGTAGACTCTTGGGATCTGGTTTTTATTACAAGAACCCCAGGTGATTCTGAGGCTTAGGGGTTAGCTACCTAGAGTAGATTATCATGACCTTAGCAGTCACTTGTCTTTCTCTGAATAAGCCAAAAGCAAGGGCAGTTATCAGAAAGACTCAGCTGGACCAGTTTGAGTCTTCTCTTTCTGCCAGGGTTTGCAGGGATCCCTGACAATCATTGATTAGATCTCGAATGTTTCTTTTTTTAAAGGTATTATGCCGGCTGGGCTGATAAGTACCACGGGAAAACCATTCCCATTGACGGAGACTTCTTCAGCTACACCCGCCATGAACCTGTGGGGGTGTGCGGGCAGATCATTCCGGTGAGTCCAGCCTCCCTGGAGTTTCTTCAGGGTGCCCTGAGATTTGGCAGTCTTCCAGGCTCTTTGCAGAGGTTCTGGGGGTGGCGTTGGAAGGCAGCCTGGGTGGCAGGTAAGAAGATGGGCTCTGACAAAGCCAATCCGGTTTGAGTCTGAGCCCTGCCACTCGTGAATTCTGTAACCTTGGGCAAGTCACTTATCCCCCAAGCCTCAGTTTCCCCATCTGAAAAGTGGAAATGAATATAGTGCCTGTCTTAGGGAGGTAATTAGGGCTTAGCATGGTGTCATGGATGTAAAAGCACAAATAAGTATGAGTCTCTGTCATCCTCATGCACCACCTGCCTTGTCCATCCATCTTAAAACCACGATGGACGGAGTTAGGGGAGGATACACAGGGTGCAGAGAACTCAGCGCTGCTTCTGTCCTCTGGGGGTGCCACCTTCCGCTACCCAGTGTAGTTCTCTGAGGAAGCTTGGATTTCGAGGGCTGCTGCTGTTTGTTGCAGTGGAATTTCCCGCTCCTGATGCAAGCATGGAAGCTGGGCCCAGCCTTGGCGACTGGAAACGTGGTTGTGATGAAGGTAGCTGAGCAGACGCCCCTCACTGCCCTCTATGTGGCCAACCTGATCAAGGAGGTACGTGGCTTGTCCTGGTCTTAACCTCTAAATGCCCTTGTTGAGGCTTGTTCTAAAGAGTTCTGAGGAGGGTCTCAGGGGTCCCTAAACAGGGAGGTGTGTTTTTGGAGCCCTCATCATCATGTGAACCAGAGTGGCTCCCTCTTACCTCTTTTCCACATTGGACTTCACTGCAAGATCCCCTTTGAAGAATTAAAAATATTGCTCCAGGCCAGGCTTGGTGGCTCACACTTGTAATCCTAGCACTTTGGGAGGCCAAGGCAGAGGATTGCTTGAGCCCAGGAGTTTGAGACCAGCCTGGGCAACATAGCAAGACCCAGTCTCTACAAAAAATTAAAAATCAGCTGGGTGTGGTAGCATGCACCTGTAGTCCCAACTACTTGGGAGGTTAAGGCAGGAGGATCACTTGAGCCCAGGAGTTTGAGGCTGCAGTGAGCTGTGATCACACCACTGCACTCCAGCCTGGGTGCCAGAGAGAGACTCTGTCTCAAAACACAAGCAAAAACCCACTATTGTTCTAAGTGAATGCTTTCAGGGGAGGGGCAAAGACACAGGGAACCCCAGCGAACAGGCTCCTTCTCCGTCCCATTTAGAATTCCCATGTAGTGCCCCATAAAACTAGCTTCTGCCCATGTGTGTCCCTTGGCAGACTGTCCCACCCTCTCTGAGAAAGGATGTGTCTTCCCCTGGCCGAGCCTTTTGGAACAGGAGGGTGACTCCCAATGTCCCCTGACTGTTTGCTCACAGGCCGGCTTTCCCCCTGGTGTGGTCAACATTGTTCCTGGATTTGGCCCCACAGCCGGGGCCGCCATCGCCTCCCATGAGGATGTGGACAAAGTGGCATTCACAGGCTCCACCGAGGTAAGGTGACCCTGACCTCAAGCTTGCAACCTCCTTGGCCCAAGCTCCCCCTGTCCTCAGTGGACAACATGCTCAAGGTGAGCTCCTGGGTGTCAAGTGGAGGCCTCTTCCTCCAGGACTTGCCTGTGCAGAGCTCAGGCGAGGACCCTGTAGGTACCAGGAGGGGTGGGCAGGGTTGAGCCCTTTGTGGTCTGGTTGCCACACTAGCTGCCCTTGGGAGGGGCCGGTGTCCCATGTGGACTAAGGAGGCCAGGCCTGGCCAGGCTCCACATAGCGCAGAGCTGATCGCTTGCCCCAAATCAAAGCACCTTGGCTAGGTCAGACTCCTTGACCAGGACTGCCATTGTGGTTAAAAATTAGCCTCGTGTAGTGGTGTGTGCGTGTGGCTCCAGCTACTCGGAAGGCCAAGGCAGGAGGGTTGGTCGAGGCTGCAGTGAGCTGAGATCACGCCACTGCACTCCAGCCTGGGTGACAGAGCGAGACCCTGTCCAAAAGAAAAAAAAAAGTGAATGTCTATTTGGTGAAATTCTCTAGGTCTCTCTTGGTCCAGTTGCTCGCTCAAGCTGTGGGGACCTCTGTTCTGTGTCTACAGAGTACTGGGCTCTTTCTCCCTGCACTGAGAGCTCATTCCTGTCTCTCTGTCCCCACAGATTGGCCGCCTCATCCAGGTTGCTGCCGGGAGCAGCAATCTCAAGAGAGTGACCTTGGAGCTGGGGGGAAAGAGCCCCAACATCATCATGTCAGACGCCGACAGTGAGTTTCCAGCTGGAGGAGGCCTGGCCTTAAAGGCAGCCCTGGCCGCCTGTGTTGTGGGTCCAGCCGATCCTGTCGCCCCCACTGCCCAGTGGTGTTGGTTGCTGTCCCTCGGGCCTCAGGATAAGACACCAGCGGCCTCGGGATAAGACGCCAGCGCAAGGCCCGCGTGGCCTGGCCTTGGCCTGTCCCCAGCCTATCCCTGGCTGCTCCCTGCAGCATCAGGCTAGGCCACGCCCCTGCTATCTGACTCATCCACTCGCCGCCATCACGCCCTTTGTCCTGGTGGGCAGTGGGCTCCCAGATCGCCCCTCTTCTCCCTCTGTCTGTCTCTGGCACTCAGCAGGCATCATCCCTGACAGTGGTGGGAACAGGCTTCGTTGGGCAGGCGGCCACAGGGGCCAGGGTCCTCCTCCTCTTCTCACTGTCGCCTTTCTGTCCCCTGACCACTTCCTGCAGTGGACTGGGCCGTGGAGCAGGCCCACTTCGCCCTGTTCTTCAACCAGGGCCAATGCTGCTGTGCTGGCTCCCGGACCTTCGTGCAGGAGGACATCTATGACGAGTTTGTGGAGCGGAGCGTTGCCCGGGCCAAGTCTCGGGTGGTCGGGAACCCCTTTGACAGCAAGACCGAGCAGGGGCCGCAGGTGAGCCAGGCAGTGCAGCAGGGTCTGGGTGTCCAGAGCCAGCATGAGAAGCAGAGAGGGCATCAGGTTCAGATTGGTTGGGACTGGGTTCAGGTCTCAGCTCTGCCACACAGCAGCTGTGTGCCCTTGGGAAGCTATGTTCCCTCCCTCAGCCTCCATTTCCCCATCCCAAGCCCTGCCCTGCCTCATTCATGGGGTGGCTTTGATGTGGAAATTAATCCTGGGAAGCACTTTGTAAATTGCATATATGTAACAAATACCAGGAGTGTCTGCAAAAGGGAGTGTGTGTTTCCAAGACCTTGGTCATCAGTAGAAATGTATCCACCAGAAGATACACAGCCCTGCAAACCTTGGTGTCTGAGAGTCATGATATGACTAGTGTAGGGACCTTATTTCACTTCATGTTTTGAGCTGTTTGATTTTATTTATTTATTTATTTATTTACCTATTTATATTTTAGAGACAAGGTCTCTCTTTGTTGCCCAGGCTAGAGTGTAGTGGTGCAATCATACCTCACCTCAGCCTTGAACTCCTGAGCTCAAGCAGGCTCAAGAACCACCGCGCCTGGCCTGGATTTTACTTTTGAGCAGTTGTAGGTTTACAGCAAAATTGAGCTGAACATACGAGGGTGCCCACATGTTCCTTTGCACCTCTCTGGTCCCCCAGTTTCCCCTTTATTTACGTCCTGCACAAGCGTGGTTCATCTGTTAGTACCAATGAGCCAATACTGGTACTTTATTATTAACTTAAGTCTGTAGAGTACATTCGGGGTCACTTTTTTTTCTTTTTTTTTTTGGAGACAGAGTCTTGTTCTGTCGCCCAGGCTACAGTGCAGTGGCGCAATCTTGGCTCATGCCTCCTGGGTTCAAGCAATTCTTCTGCCTCAGCCTCCTGAGTAGCTGGGACTACAGGTGCGCACCACCACGCCTGGCTAATTTTTTGTATTTTAGTAGAGACAGGGTTTCACCATTGCCCAGGCTGGTCTCAAACTCCTGACCTCAGGCAATCTGCCCTCAGGTTCCCAGCCTCGGGGTCATTTTTTTGTGTTGTACTTACTGTGGGCCTAGACAAATGTATCATAATATGTATAATACCATCATTCTAGTATCATACAAATAGATTTGTGCCCTGAAACCCACTGTCCTCCACCTATTCCCTCTCTTCCTCCCCTGAGCCCTGGCAGGCAACCACTGATTTTTTAAAATTTTATTTTATTTTATTTTATTTTATTTTATTTTATTTTTGAAACAGAGTCTCGCTCTGTCACCAGGCTGGAGTGCAGTGGCGAGATCTCAGCTCACTGCAACCTCTACCTCCTGGGTTCAAGTGATTCTCCTGCCCCAGCCTCCTGAGTAGCTGGGACTTACAGGTGCATGCCACCTTGCCCAGGTAATTTTTGTATTTTTAGTAGAGACGGGGTTTCACTGTGTTGGCCAGGATGGTCTCAATCTCCTGACCTTGTGATCCACCCACCTCGGCCTCCCAAAGTGCTGGGATTACAGGCATGAGCCATTGTGCCTGGCCGATCCTTTTATTGTCTCTCTAGTTTTGCCTTTTCCAGATTGTCTTACACGAATCATACAGTAGGCAGCCTTCTCAGACTGGCTTTTTTCTTTTAGCAATTTGCATTTCTGGTTCCTCATTGGGGAGCCACAGCCATGTCTGAGGATGGACTGGCCTTGACATGGGACAGGGTTATGTGCCCAACATTCCCCTCTGTGATTTTTTTTTTTAGAGACAGGGTCTTGTTCTGTTGGCCAGGCTGGCATGCAGTGGTGTGATCATGGCTCACTGCAGCCTCAACCTTCTGGCCTCAAGTGATCCTCCTGCTTCAGCCTCCCAAGTAGCTGGGACTACAGGCGCCCGCCACCACGCCCGGCTAATTTTTTTTTTTTGTATTTTTGGTAGAGACAGGTTTTCACCGTGTTAGCCAGGATGGTCTGGATCTCCTGACCTCGTGATCCGCCCGTCTCGGCCTCCCAAAGTGCTGGGATTACAGGCGTGAGCCACCGCGCCCGGTCGATACTCATATTTTTTGTAGAGACGAGGTCTTGCTATGTTACCGAGGCTGATCTTGAATTGCTAGGCTCAAGCGATCCTCCCACCTCAGCCTCCCAAAGTCCTGGGATTGCAGGTGTGAGCCACCGTGCCTGGCCTCTAACATCTCTATCTTTCATAGCTTTATTGAGATATGATTCATGTAGTGTGAAATGTACCATTTTAGTGTACGATTCAGTGATTTTTAGTATATTTACAACATTGTGCAACTATCACCACTAATTCTACAATATTGTCATCACTTCCCCAAAATATCCTGTACCCATTAGCAGTCACTCCCCATTCCTCCCCCCACCAGGCCCAGGCAACCACCAATCTATGTTCTGCCTATAGATTGATCTATTGTGGACGTTTTATACACATGGAATCCTACACTACATGGTTCTTTGTGTCTGGCTTCTTCCATGTAGCATGTTTTCAAGGTTCATCCATGTTGTAACAAGAATGTAACAGAACATAAAAGGCCAAGTAATATTCCGTTGTGTGGATAGACCACATTTTGATTTTTCCATTCATCTGCTGACAGACACTTGGTTGTTTCTACCTTTTGGTTACTGTGAATAGTGCAGCTAGGAACACTAACATTTCTTTCTTTCTTTTGAGACAGTCTCACTCTGTCACCCAGGCTGGAGTGCAGTGGCACCATCTCGGCTCACTACAACCTCCGCCTC